TTTTAATTTAATAAATTATTTCATAATTATTATATTATTTAAAATGTTGCTCATGTCTTCAGTGGGTTGAACAGTTCACGAAAGTACGATATTCATTGCGCAAAATACATATGTGTATATCAAATCTTTGACTTTTATCTATTAGAGACTTAACTCTTAGTAAGAAGTATTTATGATAAACAGTGATTCAGAATAAGGTTTTTATTTTATTACTCTCCCACTACTCTGATTCCTGTGAAGCTTTTCTTTCAGTGTATTATATGTAAATAGATTATGCAAAGCATGCCTAAGCTCTCCTTGTACATTCGCCTCTAACCTATGTTTTTTCTCTGCTTCCTCTTCTTCTCTTTGCAGCTATCTGGTCGTCTAGCAGCAACTGGAAGCTTTGAGGTGAGACAAGTGAGCTAGAACGGAAGCGGGGCATGTTAAAGGACGCAGAGGAGCTGATAAAACGCTGCAAACTGACGTCGCTGCCGCTGGCGCTGCATATGAACGAATACGGCCGCCAGGTGGCGCCAGCGCCACTTGCCGCGCTGCCGCTGCTGGCCAAGCCAACCAACACGACGCCGCCGGGAGTGGCCGTGACGGCTGGGTCGGGAGCAGGAGCAGGAGCAGGAACGSGAACGGGACCCGGAACAGGAGCKAGCACCATCTCTGACCACCATCATCAGCAGCTACACACGCATCATCAGCTGTCCCTGCCGCTGCCTCTGCCTCTGCCTTTATCGCTGCCCATGCCCATGCCGGCGACGTCGACGCACAGCCACGCCCATGCTGCGATGCACACGACGCCACCCACAACACCGCCCACGCCGCCAGCCTTGCCGCTGAACATGAGCCAAGCCGCGAGTGCGACTGCAGCAGCGACAGCAACAGCTGCTGCTGCTATGCCCACAACGACGCACAGTCCACCTGCCACGCCCACAGCGGTGAGCGCCGCCCTGGCAGCCACACAGGATCACTACAGCCTGCGCTGGAACAACCATCAGAATCACATCCTGCGCGCCTTCGATGCCCTGCTGCAGACCAAGACGCTGGTGGACGTGACCCTCGTCTGTGCAGAGACCTCGATACGCGCCCACAAGATGGTCTTGTCCGCCTGCTCGCCCTTCTTCCAGCGCGTCTTCGCGGAGACGCCCTGCAAGCATCCGGTAATAGTCTTGAAGGACTTCCGCGGCTGGGTCGTTCAGGCGATTGTGGACTTTATGTATCGGGGAGAGATCAGTGTGCCCCAACAGCGCTTGCAGACACTCATACAGGCAGGTGAATCGCTTCAGGTGCGCGGCCTGGTCGAGAGCTCTGTGCCAGAGCATACGCCCACGCCGGCCGCCTCGCCTGATGACTTCAATCTGCTGGACGCCTCGCTACTGTCGTCCAGCTACGAAGACGAGTCGCCTTCGATGGTGAGGCCAACGAGTGGCAAGCTAATCATGCCTGGTCGGCTCTTTGGCAGTCCGGCTAGCACTATGGCGGCACTCAGTCTGCGTCGCAAGCGGGAGCAGGAGTGCGAACGGGAGCCTGAGAGCGATCAGGAATTGGGCGGCAGTTCGCCCATGCCGCGTCGCAAGCAGGCGCGTCCACGTCGACGATCCGGCGATGTGCCGCATGACTTTGCGCTCAGCAAACCGGAGACGTCGGAGTCGGCGCTGCAAACTGTGATCAAACACGAGCTGCGGGAGGAACAGGATCAGGATCAGGACCAGGACCTAGACCGGGAGCAAAACGACAAGCATTCCACAACGGATGACGTAATTCCCATGGATCAGGATGAGCAGCAGACAGACGCTCCTCCTGCTGAGCCTGAGCAACAGCAGCAGCAGCATCAGCAGCAGCAGAAGGATAACCTTGAGCCAGAGCAAGAGCAGGCGATGCCACTCATCACGTCCAATCAGCAGGCTGAGCCTGAGCTAGAGGAGGAAGAGGATGAAGATCGAGAACAGGAGCAGGATCAAGAGCAGGAAGAGGCTGAGAACGAGCGGGAGCCCGATCACGATCACGATCATGATCGGGAGCATGATCACGATCATGAACACGATCCGGACGAGGATGAGGACGAACAGGACATCGAAGAGCTTATACACACGACCAACGAACTGCGCAGGCAGGCGGCTGTGGCCGCGGCTAACGCAGCAGCAATGTCACCTTGTCCCAGCGATGGGCCGGAGGATTTGTGCACCACCAAGAAGGACAAGGACACTAGCAACTGCCACTCCTCCGACAATGAGAGCAACACGAACAACAACAACAGCAGCAGCAACAACAACAACAGCAGTAAACTGCAAGACAACAATCAGCGCATCATGTTATCCTTAAAGGACATCAGACAGCTCAATGCCAAACCCAGCGCCAGCTCCACGCCCAGCCACACGCCCAACAGCTGTACGCCCGGCAACAACGGGCTGTTGCCCTTCCCCCCACCCGGCATGCGACCACCCGGCCTGCCCGACAGCCCGCCCTGCCACATGGATGCACTGGAGGCACAGATGCATGCGGCAGCCGCTGCCGCCGTTGCCGCTGCAGGCGCCGCTGGCGAGAATCCGTTCCATCACATGGAGCATCAAATGGAAATGTCGCTGGCCGCGGCAGCAGCAGCGGCAGCCATGCATCAGCGCGAGGGGCGTGATCCGCGCGAGACGCGCGAGCAGGCGCTGCAGCGCGAGCACAATGCATTCGCCAACAATCTGCTGGGACCGATGGGTTTGCCGCCCTTCGGGTCGCACAATGGTGGAACGGGGCCGGGCCAGGCGCCGCACGAGCGGCTTGAGGAGAGTATGAATCGGCTGAGCAAGGAGTTCGGCAAGGAGTTTGGCAAGGAGTTTGGCAAGGACTTCGGCAAAGACTTTGGCAAGGATTTTGGCAAGGACTTCGGCAAAGACTTCTGCAAAGAATTCGCTCCCACCTCACCGATGAGCCTGCCCGGCCACTATAATCCGCAGGATGGACAGCCGCATCCGCCGTCGCCGCTGCCCTTTCCCGGTATGTCCTCGGCGTTGACGCTAACGCCGCCCCATAGTAAGTAGCCACCATTCATTTATCGCTTCACGCGAGGTCACTGGGTTAGACCCAGCTTCATTCTGCAGCTCCTTCGCATCCTGTTGCTGGCTAAACACATTTTGTCTTACCATGAGCGGAAGTCCTAATAAACGCGGGTGCCTTTAGTCTCTGCTTGGAATCCTTATTGGTGTCTTTATTTTCATTCCCCATTCTCAGTCCTTGCAGCTTCTAGTCCTTACAGACAGCTCCTACTCTATCTGTCTCCGTTTTCCTTTACACTTCTCTCTCTCTCCCTCTCTCTCTCTCTCTCTCTCTCTCTCTCTCTCTCTCTCCATCTGCCCCTATCTCCCTGTCACTCTCGAGGACTTCTTGCCACTGTGACTTCTTCTCGCACGTACGCACCAGTAACTTGGCATTTAATAAGCTGCCATGCCCTTTGACTGCCTTCGCTGTCTTGCAGCATGCAACATGTGGCCACTGTCACCATATCCGCTCCTCCTTTACTCTCTGTCTGCCAGCAGCAACATCAAAGCGGCTCCGATTGCATAAGCATCCTTTGCTCAACTCATGCGCTCGTTGCCAGGACCAAAGCTGTCGCAAAGCCCTTAAACGCATTAGGTTGGCCTTCCGTGTGGGTATTCACACTCTCGCGCAGCTCTTTACGTATTTTTCCTCTGTTATTTTATATGCTTATGGATATTTTTTTTTTTGTTTATGTACTCCGGCGCAACAAGTTGGCAGGAGCGCTTGAAGGTGGTTTCTATTATATGTATGTAGGTATAAACTGACACATGGGTGACCTGAAAAGAAAAGTACAGTGCAGACATTTGAGGAGGATTTATCCTTAGCAGATCTTCCTCTCATATCTCCTATCTATATCATTTCAATTGTCCGTTTAATCAGATCTTTCCTCCATACTTCACTTCAACTATTAGGAATAGATGAATCTAGTTCATGTACTACCCATAACATTCTTAAGCCCACATAACCATCAAAACTTCACATTCTTGCTTTTCCCATTTAGCTTGCCTTACGCCCTTCTATGCGCTGCTCATGTTAAATTTTTCCACATTTTACTCCTGCAATTCGCAATTTAAAAGCTATTTTCCCTCGCCCATGTCACGAACGCTTGCGATGGCTTTTTAACCTATTGCCTAGTTCGCTTTACCTCCTACCCCCTTTGCAACCCCTTTCGGTTCATTCCTAATTAAGTCATAAACCATTTTTGCCCGTTGACAGCTCATAAAAATATTGAAATGAACTGAAAAACTAAAATACGACGAGAGCCGCAAGTGCAGCTCTAATAATTTGACAGTTTAGTTATTGCGCCCCTCTGGCCTGCTGGCGCCTCTGTGTGGCGTTGTATAGACCCAACAAATTTTCCTGAGCATAGGTGGAGTTGTCGGTCGAGGGGAGGTGGTGGAAGTGGTCTCTGTTCCTTGTCGCTGCATTTGCGGTCGTTGCAAACTCGCAAGTTGGAGTTGCAGTCGAAATAAATTCAATTGCGGTTTATATATGATTTTCTTTCCATATATATGTACATATATATGTATATATTTATGTCACCCGAGACAGAGGCAGCGACAGAGGCGGAGGAGCACAAGGGGCGTGAGAAGCGGACTCAATGTTGCGTGCAGGTCGCTTTGAATTTATGTTGTGTCTTGGCAACATGTGAAGCAGGCGAAACAACATGTGTGATAGTGTGTGTGTGTGTGGGTGGGTGTGTGTGCGATTATGTGTGTGTGTTTTTTCTTAGTCGCGAGTTCAAACTGTCGGCAGACGTTTAGTGAAATGACTTTTAAGTTGCCCAAACAGACAGACACACACAGACAACTGCCACGCCCACACTCTCTTACACACAGAGTGTGTTGTGTTTAAAGTATGCCACACGGTGCTGCAGCGACGTTTAAACCTTTTGGCAAACAACTTTGGCAGCATAAATAAAAAATACAGAGTCCTGTGTGCTGTGCAGAGACCTAACTGAGCTCTGATTCCTTAGACTTCTGATAGTCCTTCATACCCTGCCTGCTTCCCTCTCTCTCTCTCTTTCTCCCTCACTCTTCAAGTCGCTTCCCTTTTCGTATAAAACTTTGCATATAAGTCGCGCGATATTCATATTAATAATATCCGTTTGGGGAGTCCAGCCCCCTTGGCCAACTCAAACCCGTTTCTCTGACGGGCGCGACGCGCACACAGGATATAAAATAAATTAAGGCACAAAAATATGAAAAATTGTACGAAAATGCCGAGTCGCAGGAAGCGCAATACCTTTTAATGCGACAAAAATTTCAACCAACATATCAGAGCAATGTTGGCCATGGGGCTTGGGGCGGAGAATGGGGCTGGCGAGGGGCTTACAAGCAGCTCGCTAACTACTGCATAAACAGGCTGCAGGCAATGAATGCCAGCCAAGGATACAAGCAAGAAGCCGCGACTTGGCAAAGAAATGCAAAAGGAAGCATATACTCTATCTTAGCTTGGGAATCTACTTGTATGTGATGTCGGCTGAAAGCAATGCGAAGTTGAACATGAGACGATCGTAGGGCTTAGGAAGTCGTAAGCATCGAAAGGAAGTTGAATGTGATCAAATATAACAAAATAAGTCAAGAAATTCGTATATGATGATGGTAAAGATCGCAAGGATCGAAAGGAAGGGGTATGTCATTAGAGATAAATATCATTAGGAAATTTTGTTTGATACGAACAAAAGGTACCACCTTTTGATCGAAGAAAAGTAAAATTATGAGGGAGATATTTTTCGAACAAGAACTGAAATCTATACGAAACACTTTGATGATTAATTAAATATAACCAAAATATTGAATTTTTTAAAGATTTACCCAAAGCTTATATAGATATTGTTATATTGCTAGATTTGTTTTAGTCGATACTATTTCCTTCTTTTAAAGGAATGCCTTGCTAAGCATTGCCCAAGAGCTTTTGATCAAAATTGTTTCATTCAAGATGCTTCATCTCTCTCACTCTCTGTCCCTTCTCCAAATGTCGCATAGTAATTCATATAGTCACCATTGCGCGGTTTTGTTTACACTACACTCACTCTCTGGCCAAACAGAAGCGTTGCAGACAGCCGCAGAAAAAGATTTGCCGTATGAAGAATGTGATTTATTTTTTGTGCCAGCAAACGGCATTTCGGCGTGAAAATCATTGAACTAATAGCATGTGACATGGGAGTGTCTTTGTGTGGGTATATGCGTTGTGTGTGAGTGTGTGTAGACAACTCAATGGCTGTCTTGTTCTAGAACCCTTGAGAATAAACGTGAAAAGAAATCCGCACTAATTTCGCCAAGGCAGACTTGCTTTGATTTCGAATATAGAGTTCCAGAGAGAGAGAGAGAGGGAAAGCGAAAGACAGAGAGACAGAGGGTGAGCCAGAGGAAGGCAAAATAGAAACGCATATTACGTATACGCAGCGTGTTGTTATGTCTTGAATACTTGAGTTGCAGAGCGCGTCGCAAACAATGCGCGCTCGTTATTTGTGTCATTATGCAGCAGATACAAACGTCTTAAGATATAGATACAAATACTCACATTTATTCATGTGTGTGTGTGTGTGGATGTGTGTGTGTGCCTGAGGGTGTGTGTTGTGTCTTAGCTTCGCATTCGCGTACTTATGAAATCATTGAGTAGAATGTCAGTGTTATGCGTTATGCCTTATGCGTTATGCGGTATGCGTTATGCCTGACATACACTGGGGCTGCTCTGCTCAGGCTGCTTCTCCCTGCGCATCCTGTGGCTTCCTTTTCAGCGTCTTCGCAGATCCTTCGGCTCGTCGTGGATGCCTCATCAGCGCTTCAATTGTTTCACTCATGTGTAGAAGTGCACTCGTAGCGCAAATTATTAATAGAATAATGACGTTCCATTGTTTACATTGTCGACATCCACTTCTACAGCCAGTTGCACTCGATTGCCATAGTCATTGGGGTTCTGTCTCGGAAGTTCGCGTTCGCCTTCGCCTTCGCCTTCACTCTGCTTCCCATTGTTAGTTTGGCCATTCAGTGAGCTGGAAAATGAATCGCTTATGGAAACATTCGCAATTGCAGTCAGTTTTAAATAAAGCCAACTTATAAATAGCCAGGTATAAAATAGTTGAACGAGTATTACAGCTGATTAGCCAACGGCATAAGTTTAATATCTTCGATAATTTTCATCTAATTTAATTTTTGTTTCTCTTCTTCTTGCAGTGTTTGGCCTGGACTCGCCGCTTGGCCTATTTCCGCCCGGCATCGATCCTGGCAAGCTCTACAACCCGCTAATGGAAATGAGTGATCCACGCGATATGCCCGGCGGTCCTCCGCCGTTTCTCAAAAAGAAAAGTGAGTAGTCATCGAAAAGCCCGTCACCTTTAGCTCCGACTACGTGAAAAACAAACAGCTAATTAACCTCGGAACGTTAACTTCGAACCCAATAAAAACAAAATCAGACACACAGAAAGCGTACTGCGCGAGAAAGGTTGAAAATCCATTCAACATGATTGCCATGTCGATCACTTTGCAATCGTTGCTGCCGAAGTCTCCCTTTACCTAATGCCGTTTCGTGCCTTACTTCACACCTGACTGATTGATCTCGCTGCTGAGCGCAGTCAAGAAAAAAGTTGCTGCACTTTTGATCACGTCGCTGGCTTGGGCAATCACCAGAAATCGCTTCAGTAGGTGTCTGGTCTTTAGCCCTAGATCGTTGATCAGTAAATACCAGAGAACATACAGTTGCAAAAAAATTATAATGGATCAGTTTTGTTGAAATGAATTATATTACAGACTATTACCTGAAAATGGATATTGCTGTGATCTTGAATGCCTTAAAGCTTACTCTTACTCTGGGGTCTTAGACTGTTGAATAGAGAAGGTTGATATGCTCGCTCATTGTCAGCTGTTATCGAATGTTCAGAATTTCTAGTCACATCTGATCAATGCTTATGGCTTACAACGTCTTTATCAACCACGATCAATCAATGCTCGAGGAGTTAGTCTCAGATATAGATCTTCACCAATATAGTAAAAAAAGAAAACATTCTCTGCCGTTTTTACACTTCCGTAAATGATTTTTTACATATATCAATATTCGCAGCAAAAACTTAACTGATCAGTGATCACTGCTCGCAGTTCTTCCCCTTTTGCCACACTCACAGACACAAGAAAAACAAAACGCTCTGAATTCAATGCGTGCTCATTTCCTTTCAACATTCTATCTGCCGCGTTGCCCCCTCTTCGATCAGTTAAGACGCGATCACTCGTGCGATCATGTGAGGCGGCAAATTTGTTTTTGTGGTTTTCCTGTGTAGCTCCACTGGCCTGGCCTGCACTGTAGCTGGGTTTGTTTGTTTCTTGACTGGATCAACATGTGCACCTATGCATATCGTAAACGTCGTGTTTTGTTTTTTTTTTTTTTTTCCTCAACTCTTGATTGACAAATAGTCAGCTCCATAAACGCAGGCGTTTATTTTGATTTCTTTATTTGAAATGCAAGTGAAACCTCAGAAAGTTAATGAATTTTTTCATGTAACTGTAAGTGTGCATGTGTTTATGTGTGGGGAAATAATATTTCTATAATATGTACAAAATGTGGTTCAGAAATCAATTATCTATCTCTCTTGATTGTCATGTGATTGACAAACGAGGGAGCTGGAGGGGGCGAAGCGGCCCGATGATTGTTGGCTTACGGCTTGAGCCGAGCATGTGAGCTGCAAGTTTTGACAGCTAATTTGACAGCTGGACTGGCGTTGATGGCTTAAGTGCTTGGCTAGCGCTTTTCATGAATGAGAGATAGAGCTAAGATCTTAACTGATTTCGTGAATGATCTCTTAAATATTTCAGGCGCCACAGTGAGCTGCCGAGTGAAATGAAGAGAAGTTTGGAGGGGTCACTATGTAAACCTAAAGTTGTTGCTATCGAATAGCTAACTAGGCTTATAGCTAATATCTCAATTTGGAGTGTTTTGTGTAATAGGCTCGATTCACATTTCATGAGAGTTTATATCTCTATTTCTTACTATGAATGTTAATGGTAATTTATGTTCTACACCCCTTATCAATAAACACCCGATCTGTATCTGTTATTGGTATTGTTTAGCTTCGTATACAATTCAAAATTTGCAATCTTTTTTCTAGTACTTCATCAAAAAGCAAAATCTTTTGAGCTTATGTTGGTTTGACTTTGGTTCATTACAGGTTCTGCTGCTGCCCACAATTATGTATAATTTTCATAAACAAATCTCTTACATGCATGGGAGTAATCTGGCCGTGTGCTGAAATCTGATCGACGATCTTTCCACTTCGTTTCGTACACACTTTCAGCTCGGATCACATTTAATTGCTTAATTTTGTGATCAATAGCCACAGTTACAGAAAGTCGTGATCAGATGCTTGGCATGCCAAAAGCGAAATGCCACAACAAAGTTCGTATCTGAGCTGATCTTTGGTGTGCTCATCGCACATACACACACACACAGGTAGAGTGGGAGAGGGAGGCAGACAATGAGGGACTCCTACTCATCCCGACCATGACAATCGCTGCTTAAATTGCGAACAATGTGAAACAGTAAATAAAACTGTGCTAAAAAGCGCAAATCTGGCGTATAGCACGATATTCTTTATTGCGAATCGGGCAAACGGGTTTTCCCTACGTTTCTTCCTTTGGCCAACATTGATAAGAATCAAGCACTTGGCTCGAACGGGCCTCCGGGCGGCAGGGCAACTAACATATTTCTAGGGCCTCTGCTTTGCTTTGCTTTGCTTTGCTTAGCTTTGCTTTCATTGTCTTCGTGTGGGTGTGATTAACTGATTTGTTCACATTCATTTGTTCATTTTCTGATTGTTTTCTCTCCTTCTGTCTCTCTGTCTCCCTGTTTCCCTTTCCATCTTTCTCTCTGCCCGCCTGTCTCGCGCTCTAGTCAGTTGTTTATGTCTGAAAACGTGATTTGCGATTTGTAACAAATTCAAATTTCATTTGGCTAGCAGAGAGGACGTCTCGGGGCAGCGCTGCCTGCCTTATTAGAAGCCAACAACAGCTCGAAGAGCCACAACAATTGCATCGGGGTTCTGCCAGCTTGTTCTTGTTGCAGTTCATTGGAAAAAAGGTCTGACCTATCATTTGAACCCAAGCAAAAAACGAAAAGAGAAAAACAAATAACAGCTGCATTACATAAGAACTTCGAACTAATAACGAGGCTCCGCATACCCGAGCCTACATAATAAGCAGAGCTACTCGCGAGGCCATCTTTATAGTTCAGCTTCACTTCTCCTCAAGCTCGCAGTCATCAAATGCTCTCATATCAGCTCTTGAGTCCACTTTGGTTTTCACTTTGCCAAAATCTAGCTATCGGCACTATCAGCCAGGCCAAAGAGCTAAAGGAAAGCTGCAATAAACTGTAAGTTATCGCAGCCAGCAAATTTTGGCTACATATAAGTGCGCAGCGATTCGACATGGCTTCAAACTGCAGCCCCAGCTTCAGCTTCAGCCTCAACTCTAGGCTCGATGTTGTCTCCAAGTCGCAGTTGTTGTAGATCGGACCAGCTGAACCTGTGGCAGCAACTCTCTCGTTGTGGGGCAGGTCGATATCGGTGGATCTAAATTGAGTTTTGGCGGCGCATGTGACGAGGCTGCATGCTCGTAATTTGCATATGGAAGGTCGGGCGAGGCACTGGCTCCAGCGCAGGCTGCGGGTATGGGAACCACCACAGCGTTCGCTTTTCTGTAGGTGCCACATGCAACAGCAACAACAGCGAGAGAGTGCCAGGCTAGCAGTCATGCTATGCGCCTACTTATTTTTCTATAGAGGGGGAGTCAATTGCGGGGCAGGTGCTGAGAGGGATCCTAAACATGATCTATTGGTCATAGGGGAACCTACCTGACGCCTTTATCCTTGAATAAGTCTAATTATTAATCGATACTTATCGATTTAAGATCAGTATTGTCGCAATCATAAATAAATACGTTCATGAATCTTAAACTGAATTGAGATATTCTCCGCTCCTATATACCCCTGTAGTGCACTACGCAAGTCTACAGGGTATCGGAACAGCAACAGGGTGTGTATGAGCTGTAGGCAACTGCAGACAATGGGCGAATCTTTCAACAAAATTGTCTAGGCCGCATATGGGGCACGTAGATTGAAACATTAGGAGATGGTCGCCGGCAGATAACCCGACCAAGACCCAAGACTACAGTAGAGCTTCGCATGCAAGTACTAATCAATCTCTCCCTCTCTCTCCCACTCTCTATTGCAGTGCCACGCCCCAAAGGACAGCACTCGGCGCCACGCGGCGGGCCGCCACGTTCGTGGACCAACACGGAGCTGACGGAGGCACTGCAGCACGTGTGGAACAAGAAGATGACCACGTCTCAGGCGTCGCGCATCTTTGGCATTCCCTACAACTCGCTGCTGATGTACGTGCGGGGCAAGTACGGCAAGAGCTTGAAGCTGGAGCAGCTGCGCAAGGACTGCATCAGCGGACCGCCCATCGAGATGCTGCAGATGGGCATCAGCGGCGGTGGCAGTGGCGGCTCCAAGAGCGAGAAAAAGGAGCGCAAGGAAAAGGACAAGGAGAAGAACGCCCATGCCAACTCGAGCGGCAACAACAGCAACGCCAATGGCAGCGGCAATAGCAGTGGCTCCGGTGGTGGCCCACCACCCATGCCACATCCCAGCGAACTGGGCGGCCTGGGTCCGCTCGACTTGGAGCTGGGCCTGCCGCTGGGTCCGCCCACTGGGCCCCGCAGCGGCAGCTCAGAGCCGGATCTGCTGGGCGGCCCCAACGCGCTGTTCAACCCGTTTAATCCGCAAGGCTTCTACCCGGACTTTTCCGGTGGCTTCCCCGGCCTTCCGCTCAGCATGCTCAACCTGCTGCCGCCGGCGGAGCGGCATCATGCGGCCGTGGCCATGCACAATCTGGGCGTCAGCATGGACGAGGACTGCAAGTCGGTGGGCTCCAAGCAATCCTCCTCGCTGGACGATGACTTCGCCATGGCTGCGGCCGCTGCTGCCATGGAGCAGCGGCGACATGGCGAGGCGACGCTGGCGCAGGCGAATGGGGCGGCGCAGGATTGAAATATGTGGCGGGATTGGGCTGCCAACCCAATGTTCTTCCCGCCCTACGAGCTGGACGCCGCTGCACCCACCACCCACTCGCCTCCTGCCCCGCCCCCGCCGCACGCACCGCCGCCGCACGGCTGTCGCGACTTCAACTTCAATCCGAGCATCTTCATGGCGCGGCGCAAGCTGAAGCGCTACAGGTCTAAGCGAGTGCCGCTGCACGGGCCAGGAGGAGGAGGAGGAGGCGGAGGAGCCGGAGCAGGAGCGGGAGTAGGTGGAGCAGCTGGAGCTGGAGGCCTGCCACCGCCACACCCCGCCGCGCTGCCGCCCCCACTGCGCACCTGAAGAGGGAGAGAGGGGTCCAACTGTGAAAATGGCATGCAATATGTTCGAATGAATTCAATTAATTAAGAGTCTAATTTAGAACTTCGATTCGACAATATTTAATTTACAATTAAGCATATACTTTATACGACGATAATTATACGGTTTTTGATTTTGTATATTTTGCTGGTGCTTTTAGTTCCTATTCCCACTTATAATTTCGTGTGCTTTAGTTTGGTTTAATTACTATTAATTATTGTTAATTTTAAGCTAAGTAACTGAATATGACAAAGCTTACAAAGCATTTGAGGCAATACATTGAGCACTTAACCTAATTTAATCACCATTAATTATTATTAATTCATTTTATTATGATTGTACGTATGTAAGTAAGAATATAATCAAAAGGAAATTTGTGGCTAGCTATACTGTTAAGGGAAAAATCTGTAAATACGAAAGCAAATCTAACCAAAACCAATCAGCATTAGGGGCATTCCGCGTATGAGAAAATAAAATAATTCGAAAACAGACAGAATGAAAATTTACAAATAAAATAATT